TTCAAAAATATCAATCAAATTAGTGAGACATGATTTCTCAGCACAAAGCCATGTTGACTATCCCGAATCGGACTTTGCCTTTTCAAATATGTGTAAATCCTATCCCTTGGAATTCCCTCCACCAACTTGCCCACCACTGATATCGGGCTTACTGGTCTATAGTTCCCTGGCTTTTCCCTACCACCACAGAGGCACTACATTAGCCATTGTCCAGTCTACCAGCACATCACCTGTAGCCACTGAGCCACTCCTTAAAGATCTCACAAATTTGTTTGTCGATTAAGTACAATCCCAATAAGGTAATCATCTCTTTCTTATTTCCCAGTTGCACCCTATGTACAGCTGTAATATTATCCTGAATCAAAAATGGCATTCCTCCTCCTCTCTTGCCCCCCTTTCTACCCTTCCTGTTCCATCTATACCCTGGAACATTAAGCTGCCAGTACTGTCCATCCCTGAGCCATGTCTCTGTAATTGCTATGATATCCCAGTCTCATGTTCCCAGCCATGCCCTGAATTCACCTGCCTTACCTGTTAGGCCTCTTGCATTGAAATAAATGCAGTTTAATTTTCCGGTCCTTCCTTGTTCTCTGCTTTGCTCCTGCCTGCCCTGACTGTTTGACTTGCTCCTTTTCCCAACTGCACCAGTCTCAGACTGATCTCTTTCAGCAGTATCACCCCAGCTCTCCTCCTCCCTGCTGCCACCACCACCACCACCAATTTAAATCCTCCCAAGCAGGTCTAGCAACTTTCTCCACCAGTGTATTAGTCCTCTTCCAATTCAGGTGCAATCCATCCTTACACGGGTCAGTTCTACCCCAGAAGAGATTCCAATGACACAAACATGTGAATCCTTATCCCCTACACCTGTCCCTCAGCCATGCATTCATCTGCTCTATCCCCCTCTTCCTACCCTCACTAGCACATGGCACCGAGAATAATCCAGATATTACTCCCCTCGAGGACTTCCTTTTTAAAATCCTGCCTAACTTCCTATATTTTCTCCTCAGAATCTCGTCCTTTTCTTTCCCTAAGTTCCAATGTATAGAATGACTTCCTGCCGGTCCCGCTCCCCTTTGAGAATATTCTGCGCCTTCTCCGAGATATCCTTGATGCGGGCACCAGGGAGACAACGCACCATTCTGATGTCTCGCTGTCACCCATGGAAACGTCTGTCTGGCCTGTAACTAGAGAGTTCCCTTTCACAATCGATTGCTTGGAACCTGACGTCCCCTCATTACATTTGAGCCAGATTCAGTACCAGATACCTGGCTGTCAGTGCTACATTCCCCTGAGATTCCATCACCCCCTACATTTTCCAAAACCGTGTACTTGTTTGAGATGGGGATAGCCAAAGGAGGCTCCTGCACTGCCTGCCTCTCTCTTCTACCTTTCCTGGAGATAACACATCTACCTGACTAATCTGCGATTTATCTCCCTCTCTGCCATGCTATCCATCATACCCCCTGGTTCCTGTAAATCCCTCATTGCCTCGAACTGCCACCTCAACCAATCCATGCTATCCATTAGGATTCGCAACCAAACACACTTCCTGCAGACATTTATCATCAGTAAGATGGAATCTCTCCCTAATCTCCCACATCCGACCCGACTAAAGGCCATCTATGCACCTTAACAATCTACAGACCCAGAAAATAGCACAGTCTTACTGCTCTAAAAACACTGGTACAGGCGAACTTAGGACCTATTTTTTATTTTTTTTATGTACAGTTGAAAATATGGCCTTGGTTAATGTTGTAGAACAGAGATCAAGGGGTTCAGGAACGTAGTTCTTTTGAAATTTGCGACACATGTAGACAGAGTGGTAAAGAAGACGTTTACCTTCATTGCTCATACCTTCGGGTATAAAAGTCGGGACGTCGTGTTGGTGAGGCCATTTCTGGAGTACTGTGTCAATTGCTGGCCTCTCTGTTATAGAAAGGATATTATTAAACTGGGGCGGGTTCAGACAAAATTTACTAGGATGTTTCTGGGAATGGAGGGTTTGACATATAAGGAGAGGCTGGAGAGACTGGGAATTTCTTCGCTGGAGTGTTGGAGATTGAGGGGTGACCTTACAGAAATTTATAAAATCATGAGATTTAGATGAGGTGTATGGCTAGTTTCTTTGCCCTCAGGTGGAAGATTTCGAAACTAGTGAGCATATTTTTAAGGTGAGAGGAGAAAGACTTTTTTAAAAAAAAGACGTGAGGGATAATTTTTTTACACAGCACTTGGTTCATGCCAGAGGAAGTGTTGGATGTGAGTACAGATACAACATTTAAAACACGTTTGGATACGTACATGAATAAGAAATGTTTGGAAGAATATGTGCCAAGTGCGGCAGGTGTGATTAGTTTAGTTTGTGCTTATGGTCATCATGGACTGGTTGGACCGAATGGTCTGTTTCCAAGCTGTGTGACTCTATGATTTGCATTCTGCAGTATCTTTGACAACCTTCCTCACTATCCACAACTCGACCAGTTTTAGTGTCATCTGCAAACTTACTGGCAGGACATCTAATTCATTTACCTACATTATGAAAAACAGAGTTGCAGCACTGATTTTTGTGAAATACCACTGGTCACAGATCTCCAGTGAGAAAAACAGCCCTCCACAACAACCCTCTGTCTTATATGACCAAATCAATTTTGTATCCAACTTACCAACTTGCCATTGATCCCTCATGACTTAATCTTCTAGAACAGCCTATCATGAGCGACATTGTCAACACGGACTTTACTAAATATTGACAATGTTTACACAGCAAACTCCTACCAAGAAAGGCGAATTTCTATCCTGCATTAACTGTCATGGATTTTTTTGAATCACATTTTACATGATATTAAATGGGAACAATTTGCAGGCAGGGAGTTCATGGGAAACGTCACATCAAGATCTCACAAGTCAGTTGATTCATCAGGACCTGAATATTATCAGGCTTTGACTAAAGAAGAAAAAATATTTGTCTGTCCTTGCTGGGAAACAATTTTAGGTCTGGCTATGAATGTGAAAACACCTAGATACTCAGTATAACAGAGACAACAAGGTGCAGGGCTGGATGAACACAGCAGGCCAAGCAGCATCATAGGAGCAGAGAGGCTGACATTTCGGGCCTAGACCCTTCATCAGAAAAGGGGGAGGGGAAGGGGGTTCTGAAATAAATAGGGAGAGAGTGGGAGGCGGATAGAAGATGGATAGAGGAGAGGATAGGTGGAGAGGAAACAAACAGGTCGAGGAGGCGGGGATGGAGCCAGTAAAGGTGAGTGTAGGTGGGGAGTTAGGAAGGGGATAGGTCAGTCCAGGGAGGACGGACAGGTCAAGGGGGCGGGATAAGGTTGGTCGGTAGGAGATGGAGGTGCGGCTTGAGGTGGGAGGAGGGGATAGGTGGGAGGAAGAACAGGTTAGGGAGGCGGGGACGAGCTGGACTGGTTTTGGGATGCGGTAGGGGGAGGGGAGATTTTGAAACTTGTGAAATCCACATTGATACCATTGGGCTGCAGGGTTCCCAAGCGGAATATGAGTTGCTGTTCCTGCAACCTT